CTCTTCATCAACTAGATGTTAGCAATGCCTTTCTTCACGGTACCGTGGACAAGGAAATTTATATGGAGCAGCCCCCGGGGTACATAAATCCCACTCATCCTCACTATGTTTGCAAGCTCCGCAAATCACTATATGGTCTCAAACAGGCACCCCGTGCATGGTACACACGCCTCTCCTCTTTTTTGCAAGGCCTTGGATTCAAGTGCTGCATTCATGATACCAGCTTGTTCACCAGACACTGCTCTCGTGGGACTATTGTTGTCCTTGTCTATGTTGATGATATTGTTCTCACTGGCAGCTCTTCTACTCTCATCTCAGAAGTTACTCAGGCCATGCACCGTGACTTCAAGCTCAAAGAACTTGGACCTCTTCATTACTTCCTTGGCATTGAGGTTCAGCGCATGTAACGACTTGAAACCCGGCTTAGTAGTTAGCCGTTATTTTAATAGAAATGAATATATTATTTATTGACTTCAAAAGATGAATTATTTGTAAAGTCAACCATTTTAAATAAAAATTAGGTTTTCGAGTAGATCTCGTAAAATGGTGACCGATGGTATATAGTTTCTTAAGTTTGAACTTTTGTGTAAACCGCGATGAGTAAAATAGGCATTTCAGTTCAATATATAAATACAAAGAATTTTATAATATAATATTATAAATAATAATAACAAAGAAAAATGTCCTTTTCCTAATCCTAATCGAATTGGAGCTTATACCATTATAAATAGAAGTAGACCATCTTCCGTTTCTCCTTCTTCTGCCGCGCAACGGAACCGAGCAGACCAGGAGTTCGCCCGGAAATCTTTGCCGGAGTTCTACAAGGGTTTAATTCGTGAATCGAGGTGAGTGATTTATCTCTCGTTAGAATTAATTCGTAAGTTAGGATTCGTTAATATATTATCTCCAATTGATGTTGAATTTGTGAGTTGGATTGTTGAATACCTTGATTAATTGGAATTGATTGTATATTTGGAATGGGGTTTGGGTTGGATAATGGCTATTTTCCTTTTTCGAACTTTTCTCTGCTATGTACTGTTCCGTCGCTCTCTCTGTACCTCCTCTGTTCTTCTCTGTTTGTTCCTCTCTCTGCTCGGAGCCGCTGCTGTGTTGCCGACCAGGTCGTCGCAGGTGACCCCGCTGCTGGACAAAATGTTCGCCGCTGGTTGGAGTTGGGGAGCATGTACTCTTTGGACAATAGGATTGGGGATTTAAGTTTCTAAAATTGTAGATTGACCCCATGATTCTCAAGACGTTGCAATTAGGCCCTCTTCTATATTATGCCTCTAAAATATGAATAAAGGCTACAAATTAATCTAATGCATTGTTTAAACTAATGAATTGTGTAAGGGTAATTATGTGATTGAATTGGATTATGGGATCATGTCTCCTGGTATATCTAAGAAGGTTTAAGTTAACTGAATTCATAAGGATTAAGATTTAGGATTTAGGCCTGGTGGGGCGAGCTTCGCATAACTCACAGGTCTTGGGTTAAAAACGTACGTACGGGAGTCATTAGCCTACCTTGGGATTCCATTGTAGGGGCTCCAACCCGCCCATTGAGGATTCTCTTTGGGTTTCATCAAGCGTGGCCTCGGGGGATCCGTCCGAGTGTCCATGACTTAGTTAATCAAAAAGAACTTTAGCCTATAGGGTTAAATGTAGAAAAACAACAGGAACTGAATATAAATAAATAGTTGATCATGATATTTGATAATGATATTTGCTGATTCTTCTGATATTGTGTGATTATATATTGATGGGTGCTAGTCTATGAGTTAGTTTTAGCGTTAGATACTTCCACTCTCCCTATTTTTACAGGTAGGGATCAAGGATTAGACGAGGAGCAGCCTGGAGGACAGTGAGACGTGACGCTGGTGGATGGCCCGATGCTGTTTGAAATTGAATTAAATACTTGTTGACTTTTATTTTGTTTAAACTACAAGAATGTTTGACGTTGTTGTTTTAAAAGCTTTCGCAACGTTTGAATTATTTACTCCGATTAATTATAAATTGTTTTTAATTAAATATAATGTATGTTTTATTTTAAATGTTTTCAAAATATTATGCATGTGAATACCAAATTAGTGACAACCCGACTCGCTAACTCGTCGTTGTGGGTTACGCGGGTTGGGGTGTTACAGCGCACGCAAGATTCTATACTTCTCCATCAATCCAAATATGCCCGTGATCTTCTACGCCGAGCTGGGATGTCCGACTGTCATTCGGCTATTACTCCTATGGCTACGAGACCTATCACTAAGCCTTCGTTGCCTTTCAAGGATATTTCTCATTTTCGGAGCATTGTTGGCGGTTTACATTACTTAGCTGTCACTCGTCCAGACATTCAGTATGTTGTTAATTGAGTGTCTCAGACTATGCACAACCCCACTGAGCAGGACTATCATGCCTTGCAACGCGTTCTGCGCTATCTCAAAGGCACTTTGAATCATGGTCTTCTTTTTCGCAAGGGGGATTCGACCTATCTGTCTACTCTGACTCTGACTGGGCCAATGATAAAGATGATCGCAAGTCTACCACGGGCTACATACTCCTACTCGGTCCTAATATCATCTCTTGGTGCACGAAAAAGCAGACTCGTGTTTCTAGATCATCCACTGAAGCTGAATATCGAGCTATGGCTGCAGGGGTTGCAGAAGCTATGTGGCTTCGATATATCACTGATGC